CACATTCTTTCTTGCTCTACCCCTCTTTTTAGCTCCAGTCGAAGTTATTGGCACCAACAGTAGCGACGTCACATTCGTGTTTCGCAGAACACTGCCACCCGTTGTGGGCACGGCTGTACCAATATCCACTGTCACAATACCATCCACCTGCGACCCAAACATGGGTGACCGGATACCCATTGCCATCCCCACTCTTCATACCCTCAAAATTCCCCACCACAAATCCCATTGGAAAGAACCCCCAATAGTAATAATAAGCCTCTTTTCCTATCACCATAGGTGACACTGACAAAATTTCAATTCCAGTAAATGCCCTCTTACAATTCTGGCACCTGAAACAACACCCATCATACAATCAAGGATACTCGTATAAGTTATAATAATAAGAGTATGCTGTCCAAAAAGTACCTGACCCATCGCTTCCCAAACCACCACCATTACCAGCATTACTACTATTGATGCCTTTTTTGTTGTTCGATAACTTTGCACATTAAAGAAAGGGAAAAAAATATAAATTAAAAAAATTGAACAGCTTTGAATCCCAAAAAAGCTCATATTGGAGGTGGGGGACGGCAAACGTCACACATGGTTGGATGACGTGGAGATTCTTTGTGTGAACCTATGTTTTTAAATGCAAGTGGGACAACTACAAACCTTTCAAATGCTATGGTGGCAGTGGTCGACGGAACGGTGGTGGCGGTCGCAAATTTCTAGTTTTGGGTTGAGAGGGTCGAGGGTTGAAAAAGAAGATAGTTTTTTCTTTTTTATTTTATTTATTTATTTTGATTTTTGATTTAAGTTTTTAATTATTTTACGGAAAAATATTAAATTACTGTTTTGCCATTTTTAAATTTATTAAAATGTGGTCAAAATTAATTTATTGGGTCAACTAACGATAAATTGGATGAAAACCTTCCATTGGGGCCTCAGATATTACGATTTGAAAGATCTGGAGTGACGATTGGAACGATTGAAATGTTAGGAAAAAGTCTGCCACTGTTTGAAAGATTTGAGGAATCAAATGCAAATATCCCTAAATTTAAAGATCCTCTCTATGATTTACAATATCCCTCTTCTATTAAAAGAGAGAATCCCCTTTTTACTATTCATTCAGGACGTATTTTCTCTTCCCATTTTGTCCATCAATAATCAATAATTGCAGCTTCATCAAAATTGGGTATTTGATTTTTTTTTTNATAAAATACTATATTTACTTAATAAATTATATAATTAGTCAATTATACAACTTTCAAATTTTTTGAAATGCAAAAATTAGACTATTTTCATGATTTCAACTTTCAACTAGATGAGTCATGCTTGAAAATTTCTAACATGTTTTCATTTTTTTATTTTTGTACAAATAAAATTATTTAAAAATTTGAAACTAAAATCAAATAAAAATCTTTTAGAAAAAAAGAAAAAAATAGCGCCACAAGGCGCTTATTGTCAAGGCGTGGCGTGGCGTTTCGTCCAGGCCTTGCACTTAAACGGGTGCTAAGCACCAATGGTATTGAGGATTTTTCACAATTAATGAGTCACATAATTCTACATTTAATTGAGCGTCATTTAGATTGATGTTGTAGCACTGTTATGTTAGATAACATTATTTATATTTAAAATATGTCCAAATTGAAAAATAATGGTTTTTCATTAAAATACTTAGCTATTTTTTGATTCAACTAATAACATAAATTAAAATTTCTGTCAAATTGAACAATTAATTTTAATTATACATTTTATATGACTCATAACTTTCAAACCACACATTGTATCAACTTTTATCTAACATTTATATAAATTTTTTTTTATTTAAATCAAACAAAAACTTAATTTTAAGCTTATTAAAAACAAACTTTTCAACTAACTGACTCATTAGATCTTGTGAGTGGTGCGATTTGATGAGTTGGACGGCCCAATATGTAGATAGTGATGACAAGATGGTCATTATAATTCCCGCCTTGTTGATAATTTTTAGGAGTTGGAATGGTGATTAAAAAATTCACATTTATCACACTATTTGGTTATTTATTTACGTTTAAGATTTTTTTAAAAATTTTTTAAATGTGATTTAAATTGAAAATGAATAAAATATAAAGATTTCGTGTGGTGCAAATGCAAGTGTGATTTTTATATTATTTGTATCTTGCTAATTTATTAATGAGCAAGCTTCTGCGTAGATTATTTTCTGTCAGTTGTTTCTGTTTCTTGACAGTAATTAATACAAAACCCAATATTGACCTTTGCGTTTAGAGATGTCAATCGAGCCGAGCGGCTCATCGACTGGGCAGCTCGGCTCGTACTGTTCATGTCAATCGAGCCGCAAAAGACGAGCCCGAACTCGAGCCGAGCGGACTGGTTCGTAGACGAGCCGAGCCCGGTTCGACTCGTAAAGAGCGAGAGCTTGTGGGAACGAGCCCACGAGCTCGTGAAAAAACATTTAAAAAATAAAAAAAAACTAAGAAAAATAAATTTTTTTTTTTGACGAGCCACTAGTTGAGCCGAGCCGAGCTGGCTTGTGAAGCTCGCGAGCTCGTAGGCCGAGCCGAGCTCGCCCACAAGC